CCCCTCCCCCTTTTCTGATGAAGGGTCTAGGCCCGAAACGTCAGCCTTTCTGCTCCTATGATGCTGCTTGGCCTGCTGTGTTCATCCAGTCCTCTACCTCCCTGTCCTACCTACCCACTCTCCCAACTGCCACCCTGCACCCTAACCATCTAACACCATTGCCAGCCCCACCCTGTCACTTTACCTCCTTGCCTCACCTACCCTCTATTTCGTGCATCCCACCACCTTATACAACTACCTTGTCACCTACCCCTCTCACCTGTCCTATCCCCCTCACCACCCTAACCCAATACCCACCCTACCCAATTACTTTGCCCACTTTACCTTACTCCTTACTTGCCCTGCGCCCTTATCCACTTACCGCTTCTATCCTTCCCTTTACATAATTGGAACACTCCTGAGCAAGAATTGCTGGGAATTGGGAATGGAATGCTCAGAGTTTAATACTTATCCAGAGTACCTGGGCCCAAGACAGAATGGAATACTATAGAGATGCAAGGACAGAATGCCCATGGTGTGTTTTGTTTGCTTTCTGAGTTCATGACTTTATACATCAGTATTAATGAAGGATCCATGAGCATGGACTGTCTCCTGAAAAGTCTGTGAGCCCTCACCAGTTATCGGTTGAATTCATACTTACCACAACTTGGGTAAATCAATAGATGCTCAAAACAACTTTTGCTTAATTGAGCTTTCAAAGTTCCTAGAACAAGCCAGCAAAACATTTATTCTCGGACAATCTATGAAGCACCTACACACTTTAATGATTCTGAGCCCTGTGCCTTGTACAAGGCTCTACGTGGCTGTGATGATCATGGTGTTTTTAATTCAGCAAAGTATGTCAGGGGCAGAGATATGACCATAAGAAATTCAATACTTTTGACTTGTATATCTATGGTGCAACACTTAATTCTCAAAAACTTATATCATCGAGTAATGGATTCTATTCAAGTCATGATTCTCTGCAATTTCTGTACCATTTGAACATTATTCACTAGAGCAGCTTTTCAGCAAATTCATAGAATAGAATCCCTACAATGTGGAAACAGGCCCTTTGGCCCAACAAGTCCACACCGACCCTCAGTGTATCCCACCCAGACCCATCCCCCTAACACCCACCTAATCTACACATCCCTGAACATTACAGGCAATTTAGCATGGCCAATCCACCTAGCCTGCACATCTTTGGACTGTGGGAGGAAACCGGAACACCTGAAGGAAACCCACACAGACACGGGGAAAATGTGCAAACTCCACACAGACAGTCGCCCGAGGGTGGAATTGAGCCCAGGTCCCTGGCACTGTGAGGCAGCAGTGCTAACCGCTGAGCCACCATGCTGCCCCTTCCTTCTTAAAGTTATGATAATTTCCAACTTAGTTTTATTTTAGTGTGTTAGATTTGGGTAGTAGCTTCAAGCCCAGGACAGATGTAGTGATTAATTTGATCCGAATTTAAAATGGATAAGACGAGGTTTAATTTCTGTGAAGTCAACAAACTGGACCACTGAAAATGTCCTATTTGTGAAATGCAATTATTAATAATCTGTTTCAATGCTATGATTCTTTTATCTTCCAGATGTCTCACCTGTCACAGCAGGTCACCCAGCTGAGTAAAGACCTACAAGATATGATGCAGCTCCTGAAACCTTTGTTGACATCCCACAAGTCCGTGACTCCCTCTCCGGACCCCACCCTGAACCCCGGCCTGGCAGCAACCTACAGCAATAGCAGTGGACTCGGCAGTGTCATTCGATCGCAGGCTCCCTCCACGGCTCCGACTTTCCCCGCTCTGTCGAGACCTGACTTTCAGCAGAGAGGCTCATGGCCTGATAGCAGTCCTTATCCCACAATATCAAATTTGAACAGCACGTCAGGGAAAGTACAGACTGTTCAGGCCTCATTATCTCTGGACTCCTTTCTTGTGGATTCATCCCGACATACAGGCCTCGGAGGCTGTGAGCCCCCAGGTCGGAACCAGCCCGTGACGCCGGACATTAGCCAATTAACTCAGTTTCTTCAGGAAGACGGAATGCCCCTTGTGCAGTCACCCGCCATTGTATCGGTCAGTTTGCAGCAGGTGGCTGAACATACTGCCAAGCAAAGTGACTCACCGTTGGTAAAACTCTCTCTGCCAGCAGATGCTGCCTGCTTACCAGATAAAGTGGCTGACCTCCTAAATCCATACAGCATAAGGTTAACAAGGGAGCCACAAAGGTCAGAAACATGCTCTCTTGAATTGATAAGGACATCAGCTGAGGACTCTAGCAGCGATTCAATTCAATTCATCGATGATGAAGGGACAAATGTATAAAGACTTGAGACTGGCGAAATGTATAGAGGCCTACAACCATGTCGGTGGCACCAATACCAATTCTTTTCTTCTTTTCTAGAAAAGCTTTTTGATTCGGTCTTGAACTTAATAAAAATAATTCTTCTTGTTGCTCCAGGAAGTTACAAACAAGTGGACACTGTTTAGTTGTTAGAAATGTATGATATTTGGAGACAACTTGCAAGCTATGGAGCACATAAGTTGACACAAGAATGTGCAGCCTGATAAAGTAACTTTAACAAGTGAATGAATTACACTGTCATAGGATGCCTACAAAGTTACCGTAAAATACAGGCATGACCAGCTTTTAGCAATTTGTTTCTAGCATGTACCCTTTCAAATGAGCCAAATTGTGTATAAATACAGAGTACAAACCCGCTACAAAGTGTTGAAACTCACTGATTATACATAGCAGAGAAAAGGACTTATTTTTCTACCTTTGTTACATGAAAGAAAATCTTTATACAGTTTACTGTTTCCTTTCTTTGCATAATGAGACAAGCATGTGTATTAACCAGGTTTTAAAAGATCAAAGTAATTGCATGTAATGTATACCTACATATTTATGCATGATGCATATGGATCCAAGGTGGCTTTAGCAGGGAATCATGGGATTGAATATGTATTTATTAAAGGTGATGCACTCTGAGAGGTATCAAATTCCAGTCCATGTGATTCAAACTTTAACTTTAAACACTAAAGAAGCAATTGGGAAAAAATGGTATGCCGTAGAAAATAGAAGTATATCCTACGGTAAATTCTTCCACCATGAATTTACTTGCATTTACGGTTAATAATATGTACAACCTCCTTGAAGCGTGCTCATTGCTGGACTGCACATGGCAGTTGGTCAAGTGGTTTACAACCTGTTCCTCGGCTCATTAGTTTTTCAAGCTTTTAAAGCAACACAGCTCTTAAAACAAATGGTTAGCACTGTTGCCTCAAGGCACCAGGGACCCGGGTTCAATTCCAGCCTCTAGTGACTGTCTGTATGGAGTTTGCACATTCTCCCCATGTCTGCGTGGGTTTCGTCCGGGTGCTCTGGTTTCCTCCTACAGTCCAAAGATGTGCAGGTTAGGTGGATTGGCCATGCTAATTTGCTCATAGTGTTCAGGCATGTGTAGATTAGGTGAGTTATAGGGGGATGGGTCTGGGTGGGATGCTCCAAGGGTCAGTATGGACTTGTTGGGCTGAAGGGCCTGTTTCCACACTGTAGGGATTCTATGATTCTATGAAAAAACTCACAAACTGTTTGTGTTCCCCCAAGACAAAATTACATACAATAAGAGTGCCAAAGTGTGTGCATTATAATAGTTGCAAAACTATTTACACAGAAACACGAATTGAAAAATTGAATTGAAGAGTATATATGACATGTGTATAATAAATGAAAGAAGTGTGGATGGTAGATGTATGCCTGTATGCTAATAGAAGGTAATGTTCGGGCCAAAGTTCCCAGTTCAGACAATTGTGTATTGTTTGTATTTCACAAAATCACATTCTCTACCAGCTATGGTATGTATAACCACGTGAGTGTGGAGACTTAACCTTGGATTGGTAAATAGTGTAACAACGTGATAATGAGCAAAATGCTATCTACCAACCTCCTAACAGCTGCAACTAGGGGTTGGTGAACTCAATCGCTGGACAAATTGTTTGTGATGTGGAGTGATGTTAACAGCATGGGTTTAGTTCTTGTACTGGCTGAGGTTACCATGAAGACCCCACTCTCTCAACCTCACCTGAGATGTGTTGACCTCAGGTTAAAACACCACCAGTTCTCTCTTTCTCTCTCTCTCTCTCTCTTTCTCTGTCTTAAGCAGGCAGCCCTATGCTGCATGAACTCACAAAAACCGGGCCAGAGACAAATGTTGACCATTTGTAGCAAGGAGAGTAAAATATTTAAAGACAAAAACAGAAATTGCTGGAAAAGCTCAGCAGGCCTGGCAGCATCTGTGGAGAGAAATAAGGGATAACATTTCAGGTCAAGTGACCCTTCCTCAGATCCCCAGAGTAAAATATTAGCCCAGATCTTCCATTTGGAGTGGCAGCAAATTTTCAGACAATTGCCACTGTTGAGCATCAGAAGCCAGAAGATGTTCAAACCTACAGTGGGTGGCAGTACAGTGCCTGGTTTATTCCAATAGGAAAGGACACAAGATCAAGGTCTTCCAGCAAACTTGGAGAATTGAAGCTTATCTAACAAGGACCACCAGAGACAGCCAGGATACCAGACCCTGCCAGCCTAGCTGGAGGTTGCTACCCAGGGCAGTAAGGTCTCAATTGTCCAGAGGTCCATGCATCAATGCAGGAAGGTCATTGACTTTCTCTGCTTCACCTGGGTAAGTGCCACAATTTTCTCTCTGCGAGATCACACTCACTCTAACTCTGATACTGCACCCACTCCCAGCCAACGATCATGGTCTACAACTGTCATGCAACATCTGCCCTCATTCTCTCACCCAGCCAATCCCCCCACACTACTAACTCTGCATGGCCTCGACACTGTCTCCTCACTCACTTGGCTCACCATGACATCTTTCTGACACTAACATGTGCCAGCCGCTTTCATTTCAGTCAATCCCTTTTGCTCATTCCAGGAGGAAACAGACAGCAGAAAGTTACAAGACAAGTGGTGAGGTTCCTGACCTTTGGGTCCCATAACGAGGTCAGTATCCTGACTGTGACCATTCCCAAGGCTGATATTGGACAAAGCTCCTGACTGACTGGACCAGGACTCAGTGACTAATAGTGTGACTTCACTCAGGACTATTCTCCAATGACTTTGTGACATGGCCATTCAGTTGATACAAATGCAGTGTTTGCTGCATAGGCTGCTGGCACATGCTGTAGGTGCAACTGCTGCCTGCAGAAAATTGTGACAAGCTGCCTGATGCTGTGTCTGTGCTGATCAGCAAGGCAGGACAGAAGTATTGGGAGCCTTTAAATTCTGGTTGAGGGGGCAAATTGCAAGGCAGAGATGCAGTGAGCATTCACATAGATGCCAAGTGAACATGTGCTAAGAGGGCAGATCTGAAATGCTCTCTGGTCAAGTCAGCGAGCTCGGTGCCTGCAGATGCAGCATTAAAGGGCAGAGGTGTACTGTAAGTGGCTCAGAGATGTGCCATGATGATACTATGAGGTTGGTATATATTGGAAGTCAATGTCCACAGATATGCGATGGGTGTGGGGGCTACCCATGGAACATGCTGTGAGATGTTCAAACTGTCATAGAGTCATACAGCACCAAACACTCGCTTTGGTCCAAACCATCCATGCCAACCACGTTTCCCAAACTAAACTAGTCCCACTTGCCTGCATTTGGCCCATATCCTTCTAAAGCTTACCTATTCATGCACTTGTCCAAATGACTTTTAAAAGTTGTTAGTGTATCTGCATCTACCACTTCCTCTGGCAGCTCATTACATCTACGAACCACCCTCTGTTGTCAAAAAGCCGCCCCTTAGATTCCTTTTAAATCGTTTTCCTCTCACCTTGAAAATTATGAGGCGAAGTTGCCAGGTACCCGCTCAGACTTCCATCCTGGGAATTCTCAGCATCTAGTTTGTAACTGGTGAATAGCTTGGGAGGCTACCAATTAATGACGGTCGGAATGAGCAAAAATCCCAAGGAATAAACATCATGCTGCACACTACCAAGAATCTCACCTCCAAATCCAGGATTTACTTTGGAAACGCGACTTTTTGGTCCCAATATTGTGAAGGGCCTGGGATGATATCTCACCTGTTTTCATACATTTCTTGCTGTAGTTCATGTCATTCAGGGCCTAAGGGTATTCTGCCCCACTTTCCCAAAATGAAGTGACAAAGTGAGAGCAACAAAACAACTTCAATGTATTTGCAAACTATTTGTTTTAATCAAAAAAATCAGCTATTAAGACTTTATTTTAACTGCCTCAGCCAAGCAAGTATGATGCACAAAATAGAGTTTAAAATAGACCAAGTCAACTGCAAGGTTCACTAACAAGGTCTAGGCCCGAAACGTCAGCCTTACTTCTCCTATGATGCTGCTTGGCCTGCTGGGTTCATCCAGCTCTGCACCTTGTTGTCTCAGCTCAGCAGCACCACCACTTCTTAAACTTGTTGAGTCCTAAAGGCCATTGAGTCTGCATCTGGTGATGAGGGAACCAAAAAGAGGAAAAACTATATTTGACGTCATCCTCACCAATCTGCCTGTCATGGATACACCTGGCCATGACAGTCTCGATATGACTGACCATTAGCACAGTCCCACCTTCACCTTGATGATTCCTTATATGATGTTGTGTGGAACCACCACTGTACTAAATGGGACAGACTTCAAACAGACCCAGCAAGAAAAAACTGGGGCATCCATGAGGCATTGCGGGCCATCAGCAACAGCTGAATTATTCTCAAACACAATTTGCAGCCTCATAGCCCGACATACCCCCTACTCAACTATTACCATCAAGCCACGGGATCAATCCTGGTTCAATGCAGAGTGCAGGAGGGTATGCCAGGAGCTGCACCAGGCGTACGTAAAAACGAAGTGTCGATCTGATGAAGCTACACCATGGGACTATTTGCATGCCAAACAGCATAAGCAGAAAATGATAGACGGAGCTAAGTGATTCCCACAACCAAAGGATCAGACCCAGGCTTTGCAGTTCTTCCACATCTGGTTGTGAATGGTGTTGGACAATTAAACAATTCACTGGAGGAAGAGGCCCCACAGATGTTCCCATCTTCAGTAATGGGAGAATAAGCACATCAGTGCAAAGACAGGGTGTTAGCATTCACAAAGGCTTTCAGCCAGAAGTGCCAAGTGCATGATCCATTAGATCCAGCATTGCAGATGACAGTCTTCAGCCAATTCAATTCACTCCATGTGATATCCAGAAATGGTTGAAGACACTGGATACTGAAAAGGCTATGAGCTTCGACAACATTCCAGCAATACTACTAGATATGTGATTTCCATAAGTTATCATACCCCAAGCC